ACCCGTCTGAATCGCATCTTTTGACGCGCTCATTGATTATCACGGTCTAGACAGTGTATGTGCGCGTTGTCGGAGGGCGCGGTGTCCCGGCCTTCCTTGGTGTACCAGGTCCTCGCTCAGTGCCAGTCCCTTGTTCCAACTTGCTGTTCCCTAGGTCCTTCTCGTGCTGTAGGTCTGGTACCTGGACTGTTCTCGGCGCGGACCGGTCCCGGTGGCGTAGTCCTCAGCAAAAGGGGTRCGCCAYAGGACTTCCATTGGTCCACGCAGGCTCGGCGCCCTRYTGTACAGCAGAGYACTACCGGCCTGTGGCCGTGGTAGCYGYCGGGCTCGCCCTGGGACRCRGAGGTGAARTGACAAGYTCGGYCCTTTCAACTGCGCGCCAAGCATCCTTTTCCCTGGTTATGGGATAGGCACAGGGACAGGCCAACGTCAAAAAGGAAGGTTGATAAAGAGATAAAAGGAAAATAAAATTATGCAGGAGTGAAAAGGAAAGCTGAGCGTCGGAACTGCTTTTGGATCGTGATCTTTGCTTTAGTCTGGGGAAATTCAGTGGCATCGGGTTGCTGTACCATTGAGCTTTTTTAATTTTTCTTTCCTTATTCATTATTATTAAAAAGAAAAATTTTATAGCAATCTTTACTGTTGACTTATCGATTTTCAGACCCGGCTCTCCTTTTCGGTTCTGTCACTTCGTAGGGGAGGCCGTCGATTCAAGATGCGGCTACGACTGCGGCCTCATGGTCTAGGCCTCACCAACCCTCCGCATATCACCTGTACCGGACCTGCTTGATCGAACTGTGCAGTAGGACCCCAGTAGCCTTGTTAAGGGATAGATACAGCGAGACCTGGAAAAAGGGGAAGAGGGTCGAAAGTTGGGATTTAGACTTGTGCGTGGGTTCGCACCACTATTCAGGCGGGACTGCTTCGCGGAGGAAAAATTCGAATTGCCATCTTTCCTTTTCCTGCGATTATTATTATTGTTATTATTACCTTACTGGTTTTCAGGCGTGGCCTTCCTTTCCCTTTTTCTATCACATCGTGGAAAGGTCAACGGTCTGAAATTGGAGCTGTGGCGCGAATTGGTCGGTCCCACTTATTCCGTCTGGGAATGAGCGCCGCCTCAGTGCCGCACGGTTAGGCTCCAAAAAAGGGGCACCCGCGGCCGCGTCGGTAGGAGGCTTATCACCCCCCTCGTGGAGGGTCATAAGCCCCCTCCTTGCCATCGGACATGGGTGCCCGATGAAGGTAGGCCTGCGCTGCATTTTAAAAAGAAAAATGTGACCTTTAGTATCTCGTTATGGGACCACGGCGCCAAACCTGCAGTCATATCGCTAGGGTCTGGGACTGACAAGTAAGAGTTTAGTTCGCAATCAACCGTTGGGTTTTGGGCTCGAGTATTATTTTATAAAAAATAATTATTAATTTATTGTTTTAAGATTCTTGAAATGCGATAAGGTCTGAAAAAGACTAATCTAAGTTCCGTGTTCGGATGATGGAGGAAATCCCTATAAGAGAGAAGAGTGAGTCGGGATATCATCTGCAGCCAGCCACCCGGTAGCACGGAGTCTGTGCTGCAGACTCCGGTGTAGAGAGGTGTGCTATTGGAAGTTGGTGACTTTGCGCTGCGCTGTTTACCAGGCAGGCGCTGGCTATTGAGAAAAGAGCAGCTATGGCGCTGCCTGGTTACAGGCTTGGGTACTGTTATCACCAGGCCCGTTTGAAGCCCGTGTCCGGGGAAGGGCCCTGGATTACTGTCATACTCAACTACGACGGTGGAGATGAACTGTTATTGAAGATCAATGTGGAGGGAGCAAGAGAGGGGGAAATGCGGACTAACCCGAAGTTGCAGGACGCGATTTCAGAGGCGAGAGACCGAGCGGAGAGACGGTGTAGACGGGACGGAGTGATGGCAAGGTTACGGATAACGGTGGCTTACCACGAAACTGAGACTTCGATGGACACAGCGGACCTGGAACAGGTCCACCAGGACGGAGACTCAGGAGGGGAAAGTGAGATGAGAGACGCAGATCGAGAGATGGATCTCAGGTCCTGGAACAGACCAGGAGAGATCCAGAGGCATCACCGAGCCGTGAAACCAGTAGAGGAGGGACCCGAGGCTAGCTCGAGGCAGCTGACGCCGAGGGGCCGCGGGACGGGAGTGAAGCAGAACAAGGGGAAAAGACACGTATGAGAAGGGGCAAGATCATGAAACGAGTGGGCTGGTGTGAGCGGAACAGAACCCAAAACGGGAAAAAGCGGGCATACACGCACGACTGGGACGTTTGAGAGAGAGGTGCAAAGAGAAGGTCAAAGAGAGTGCATGGTGGTTGACGTCAATACCTACCTGCACTCTTGTATGAAGCGCGTGTTA